CTCTTTCTGCACCCATGTTCCCCACTAAGCTGGTGACATGACGTCTACAAACTAGTGTATAAACATGTTTTGTAGAGCAAACGTCCAGCCCAATACAGAATCACTGCTGAAAAGGTTAAACTTAACCAGTGAAAAATGTGCAGGCTTTCATCCACACTCCTTTTCTGCTGCTTCCTTTCTGGATAAATTCACTGGAATGACTTAGGAACAAACGTAAAAGACATTCTGAAGCATCTTACCTGAACAACAGCAAGCACCTCTGGCAAGGAATTTTGGGTAGGTGGAACTGGAGGCAGAAGACAAAAGAGCTGATGGGCAGGTGCATCTGAAAGCATCTGGAGGTCATTGGGAGAATTCTGGAAGATCACAGTTATGTTACACAATTAGCCTAAAACTATTCTTCAAATGCATACGTTAATTCTTTTCTAATCTAATATACAACCAGAGTAATAGTGTGTATGTTATATATGCATAATGCTTTTTGTATCGAGAATTCTCTCTTCAAGAAGATTATCAGCAAGGAAAGGTAGATTTTCACAAACGGCGGACAAATCGATACAGGTGATAAAAAATAACAATGGCCCGTTTTTTCTCCCCAATGCCATAACATGTCGGCCCATTCCTCTCTACTGTAATAGGTCTTCTTAGATCTAAACCAAGGAAGGAGAGCATGTGGCCATGAAGATGCTGTTGGACTTCAGTTCCCATCAGCTCTAGCCAGCACAGCCAATGATAAGGATGGCTGGTAGTTGCACTCTCAGCAACATCTGGAAGGTGGCATTTCGTTCACCCTTTTCCAAAATATTTATGTACAGTATTCTCTATGGACCATTCCCTATTTATTTCTATAACCACCATCATCATGGTGTGCCATCAAGTCAACTCAGAAGTGGTTTACTATGAAGGGGTGCCCTGGGATTGTGCAACTTACCCAAGGCCACACATGCCAGATCTACTCACAGGAGGCACAGTGGGGAATCGAACTCTCAACCTCTGCCTCCACAGCCAGATACCTAAACCGTTGTGCTTATCCAGCCAGCCATTTATTTCTATACAAGAAGACTAATAATGATCTGTGATCAGAATCTTGAGCAAGTCTACGAAAGAGTGGCCCATAATCACCAGAAGCTTATTACAGATCACTGGGATTAAAAACCCACTTTACCAACACACTAGTGATGTCTGGAGGGGGAAGGGAGTAGTGTGTAAACCACTACAATTTAAAGGAGAAAAATGAGCATAAAATATTGGATCAATCAATGTCCACAGGAAGGACAGAGAGATTCTGGCTTTCTGATAAATTTTAATAGAAGACAGTGTAGAAAATACACAACCACCAACCTTGTAGTGAGAAGCCACATACAGAGCCATCAGTCGCTGAAGAAAAGCTTCCGATGCTCTGTGATAACAGAACAGGGTATCTCTGTTGACATAGTATCTAGGTGCCAGAGATTAAGGTACAAAAAACAAAAACAGAGGCTAATCCAGGAACCCTGAGTTATCAGTCTGGAGGATTAAGTGGTACTGTTCTGTATCAGACACTCATACTAAGTACCTTCTACTCCTTCTACTTAACTGAAAGGGGGAAAAGATCTTGATTTCTACTTTACAAACTTGTACTACTTCTGCTCTTGCATTCCTTTGTCTTATCTTCTACAACATGGGTCCCCAACCTTTATCACCTGGGGAAGGCGGGACACCCCCTGCGTTCCTGCGCATGTGCAAACAGTAGCGCGGTGCTGGTGTGGATGTGCAAATAGCAGCGTGGCGCTCGCACGGGCACGCTGGACCGAGCGCACAGTCGCAAACAGGCTGTGTGTGGCTGAGTGCATGCGGGGGGCAGGAGGTCTTTGCGGCCCGGTCCGGCTCAGGCCACGGACTGGCATCGGGCTGCAGACAGGGGGTTGGGGGCCTCTGTTCTACAATGCTAGAAGCAATACTAGGCCTACAATAAGTCCTGCATCCTAAGCTACCTTTGGTTAATGTACAATCTGGGTGCACATGGATCCACAGTCAAAAAGGAAAAAAGGGGGGGCCCTGTAAGAAGATGACAGTGCTCTGAAGAGTTTTCCTGCTAGAGTGCCTCACACAGGATGAAGAGGCTGGTGGTCATCCTAATCACTACATGCTAGTTTTAGCATCAGCCTATTTTAACAAAACACCAAACTCTTCCAGTTTTCTGCTGCAAAGGAGAGTTCAAGTGCCCAAAGTCCGGGTGGACAACCACCAAGAAGTGTACTTCGTTCTTGCCAGAATCCTCCTTCTTCCATACAGAGCACGGGAGCAACCAGCATGAACGCACATCCTAGTGTGCATGCACCCACAAGCCATCCACTCTGTTTTTCAAAGAACCACAAAGAAGTGTGTGTGTGTTAGGTTGCTCCTCTTCCACAGCAACATCACACCATAACTTCCACAGAAGTGCAAGACACATGGAACAAAGTAAGGCAGGAGAATGGACTGCACCATTCCCAGACTGCAGGCTGGAGATGCATTTCGAGAACACCTTACATTTTAAACATTTGTTTCCCTTCATGTAAGCAGCACAGGAGGGAACTCTGATGGAACAGAGAACTCCTGCATCAAGAGACACAATTAAGTAATGTATTAAGGGAAGACATTTTAATCCAGTGCACTGTTTGTCTGCTCTTTGCAAGAAACTTGTCACAGAAGAGAAGCATTCAAAACTGGGAATCTAGATGGGCTCAAAATGGTGAAGTCCACTCAGCTATGTTAGAACGAGAAGGCACAACCCTAAGGCTTCTGCCACATATAATAGCCAGGTCTCTATCTCTTGGTAAAGCATATACAGCAAATGTAACACTGTGGCTTAGGAGCTGGTGAAAACTTCACTGAGTAAATCAAGACTACCTTGCCATTCTCCAGCTCAAGACCCTCTCAAGTGAACTGTTAAAGGCTGCAGGTAGCATGAGAATTAACTACAACAACAAGGATACAAGTCACAAGATTCAGGCACTGGGCAGCCAGATATAATCCTTGTGATGTTGAGGCAATCCAAGCACAGTAACTCATTCAGCCATTTTTCAACCGGATCTCCTGGGGCATATCTAATGGATTCCTGGAGGGAAACTTCATGCAATGTACGGGCTGGGGGAAAAAAGAGACACAATAAATAAAAAGGTCACGTGGAAAAACCCATTCTGTGTGAGTTTCTGAATGTCTCATAAGTAGGAAATGGCCAACTTAATCCAGTCTGGGCAAAAATAAGACATTTGTTGGCTCCCCACTCTGTTCTTAAATGATCTTAAAAGCCATACACTTACTTTCCTATTAAACTGACATGAACATGCCAGCAGTATGCATTACTACAAGCATTATTAACATTTCCCCACCACACCACCTCACATACACACACCATATTTATTAATTGATTGATTGATTATTTGAATTTATATCCCGCACCATATGGCAACCAGGCCACTCTGGGCGGCTAACAACAATATAAGGAGGAAAAAAAATTAAGAACACAATAAAAATAAGTTAATACATAACAAATCAGAAATTAAAACATATAGCAGTAAGGTAGTGGGAAGGGTGATGGAGAGGATAGCAAAAAGAATGGTAAAAAGGGAGGGCAAGATCCTAGTGCTCCGGGAAAGCCTGGCGGAAGAGCCAGGTCTTCAATGCTCTTTTGAATCCGTCCAGCGAGGGTGCCAGACGAATCTCAGTCAGCAGGTTGTTCCATAGGCAGGGGGTAACCACCGAGGAGGCCTGATTTCTAGTTCTTTCCCTCTGGGCCTCCTTTGGGTCAAGGCCCTCAACTGCCCTGCCTGTGAGGAACAGGTATTATAGACAGATCTGGCTGGGGGCAGGCATTCTGATAGGTACCTAGGTCCTAAACCATTTAGGGCGTTAAATGTTACCATCATAACCCTGAAGTCAATGGGGAAATGAACCGGTAGCCAATGAAGGGCAGCCACAGTGGGGGAAGATGTGCTGAAATTTCTTCACCCCAGTTATTAATCTGGCCGCTGAATTCTGGACCAGTTGAAGTCTCTGCATCAGCCTCAAGGGTAGCCCCACATAGAGAGCACTGCAGTAGTCTATTCTTGAGATTACAAGAGCATGAATCAGCGTCGTAAGTTCTCCCACGTCTAGATAGGGACGCAGCTGGGCAATCCTCTGAAGATGGAAATGGGCTGCCCAGACCACAGATGCCATCTGGGTTTCCATGGTGAGATCTGGGTCCAGGCAGATGCCCAAGCTGCAAACCTCATTCTTCGTGGGAAGAGTCACTCCCCCAAAGGAGAAGGAGTTTCCCAACCCACTGACACCAGGGCCCAAGAGCAAGATTTCCATCTTGTCCGGATTCAATCTCAATCCATTTGCCCTCATCCACTTCAGAACGGGCCCCAAGCAGCGTTCAAGGGACGGAACAGCATCCACTGCAGTTGGAGAAAAGGAGAGGTAGAGCTGGGTGTCATCAGCGTACTGATGACACCGGGCCTCACAACTCTGGATGACCTCACCCAGCAGCCTCATATAGATATTAATTAGCATTGGCGAGATGATCGACCCTTGCAGAACTCCACAATTGAGGATCCAGGGGGTGGAAGTCATCTCACCAAACTGCATTCTCTGGGGACAGTCCTCCAAGAAGGAACGGAGCCATGCCAAAGCAAGACCACTGATTCCCAGCTCGGAGAGCTGCCCCACGAGGATACTGTGGTTGATGGTATCAAAGGCCGCTGAGATATTGGGGAGGACCAACAAGGACATATTGCCCGTCAGCCTCCCTCAGGAGGTCATCCTGCAGGATGACCAATGCTGTTTCTGTACCATGCCGCGGCCTGAAGCCCGCCATTATGTGGCTAACATCTGCAGCCTTCCGCTCCTTATCTGTTGCTTGACAATAAAATGAGCCCACAGCTGTTTTAAAAAGCAGGTCTCCAGTGTTAGCCAAATACAAGGAGTTGCCTTGGATTACCTTGAGTTTGGGATTCAACTCTTCACCTTATTTTCTTGTAGTAACTGGGACATGCAGTCTTTTACCTATTTTTCAGAAAAACATGGAGGCTTCACCTCAGCATCCCAAATGTCATGTTACACAGTCCAGAAGATTCAGCCAAGGGAAAAATACCTGAGGACAGTTTAGCTGTCGTTGTCATTTTGTTCTCTGCTGTTATGCTAGCTTGAGCCTGGGCACTCTGCTGCCGCAACTGCTGGATCAGTTTTAGCGATAACGACCGACCCGTGCCCTCATACCTGTTTAAAAACAACAGAGCCAGATGGGCAGAATCAGCATAAACCTTTCATGTTTCTTGTAGAAGAACACAGAGCCAAGTCCTTTTATACAGAAATACTATTTACGAAAAATTTGGCAAATTGGACAAAAAGGTTGCTGTTTGGGGGTTCGGGAGGACACAGCAAGAGCTACGCAAGGTTGTTACATGGTGTGTGGCTACTGATCACCCACTTATGCGATGCTTTCAAGGTGACTTGAATGTCCAGATGCTGAAGACAAGAGCACAATCTTAAGAGCTGTTCTTCTCCCTCTGCATGTCTCTTGTCAACCACAGAATGCTACTGTACTACAACCCATCTAAAATGAATCTAAAATGCCTAGGTACTTTTTCCAGACCTTCCTAATGAAAGCAGAACCATTCTGTTTCTTTACAGATATACTGTTGGTGGAGGAAGAATCCACAAAATGGTCCAAGGACAACCATATAGCTCCAAAGCAAACCTGCCACCCATTTGGAGAAAGCAATTACTCACCACTGAAGGACAAACCAAAAGCAATGTTCAGCACTGGACAAACCCTGTAGCATCAAGTGATAACATGTGTACATGCAAGCATCAAGGATTCAGGGATGGTCCAATAAAAATGTGCCACTTGAGGCTAAGGACAAGATAGCATCCCCTCTAATTCCACGCACAAAAGTGGACTGGACAGGCAGCCAAATCTTTCTCCAGGAACAATGATTAAATGGCCTGCCAGTGCTGAGCCCACAGTTCAGCCCCTACGGCACCCAGTTGCTATTTACCAGCATCTGTTCCTTGGACCAACAGTCTTCTTGTGCCTCATGGCAGAGCCTGTACTGGATGGATTAGTCCCAAAGAGTATTTCGATATTGCCAGATATTAACTCCAGCACAACAAATGTCAATGCAAAGAAGGCATAACATTTCCAACAGAAAACCTCTTAGGTTTTGAGCAAGCTGGTGAGCAGCAATCAAGTTATGTACCTTTGGCTGTGAGCTAACTTTTACACAAACAAAACCCCATTGAGATTCCCCCTGCCCTCCATCTACCAAGTAGCACAGGCGCCCTTAAATGGATTCACAACAGGAAGATTATGCGTCACTTGCAAGAGAGAAAAACACTTACCCATTGATGGTAGAAGCCATAAAAACCAGGTACGGGCCCAGCAAGTTTTTCACTAGAGGGAGAGGGATGGCAGCAGCTTCATCAATCACTACCAGTTCAGCCTGCCCCAATTTCACAGCATCTGCAGGGTGGATATACTGGCCAACAAAGAAGGAAAATAATGAGTCAAAATAATAATAGCACCTTGCTATCTGCTTGCTGGGTCAGCCTGAAACAGGCAGATCTAGAACTCATTTATATTTCCCTTATAACATCAGCTTAGCACCATCTAAAGCAGGCTTGTCCAACCCGCGGCCCGGGTCAGCTCGCAATGCGGCCCAGTGCAATTTATTATTTTTAAAGAAATTCCAAAGTTTCAAGTTACACTCCCGGCGCTTGTGGCCGGAATGCAGCCGGGACATGTCACAACAGTAGAGGGGGGAGAGGGAAGGAAGGAAAGGAGTGGGAGGGGAGGGGACAGGGAGGCTGCGTGACTGCATTGCGCCATCCCCATCACTAGGTGGACCCCCTCCCGGCCCCATAAAGCCACCAGAGTCGAAGCTGGCAGCCTCTGCTGTCTGAGATTGCAGCTGCCAGTAAGCGCTCTTGGAGCGGGGCTGTGGAGGACGGCTAGGGCTGCCCCCCCATGAGGCCCAAACCAAATTTATGTGCGGCCCAAACCAAATTTTCCTCTTCTAATGTGGCCCAGGGAAGGTGAAAGGTTGGACACCCCTGATCTAAAGGCAATAGAAAATAAAAGGAGATTAATCGTGTTTTAATGCGTTTCTATGGGCTTTTTAATATCGCTTAGCGATGAAATCACTTAGCAATGTTTTTTCCGGAACGGATTAACGTCGCTAAGTGAGGCACCACTGTATTGGTATTCGTATACAAATATCCCAAAAAAAGGTGCAGATAGTGAGGGTCCAGCCCTCTGGAGCCAGACCAACCACTCACAATTCCGCAGGTGCTACAAGCTCTGCAGAGCCTTCCTGTTGCTCTGTTGCTTGCAATAGACTAGCCAGTCCTGGCAGAGCGCAGGATGACGAGCCTCTCTGCCACGTCAAAGAGTGGCTAATCCATTGCAAGCAACAGAAAGCTAGGAAGGCACCGCAGAGCTCGTGGCAGCGGTGGAATTGTGAGTGGTCAGTCTGGCTACAGGGGACTAGACCCTCATTATCTGCACCTGTTGAGGAGGACATTCATATTCATATACCTCCATCTCTAAACACAACCTTTTTCATTTTCCGAGATATGTCTTCGCCTTGAGGCAAAGGGGCTTGTTGTAATAAAATTCAATCTGAGCTTCTGCAAAGAGGCTGGGGCATCTAAAGAGTGCCAGGAACAAGACTGTCATGAAGCATATCTACCTGGATAGTCTGTCTGTGCTCTCTGAAGACATTTACTCTGACAACTGCTTTACTAAATTCAGGGTTGAGGGACTGAATAATCTCATAATCCAAATGCTCCTGAAAAGAAACATAAGAAGCAAAGTCAGACTCAAATATGTAATACATTTTTTTAATAAAAATTTTTTCTTTCTCTATCATTTTAATGGGCCATTTTAACTACCGAATCCCTATTCAGATGTTCTAAATAAGGTTAAAGTGAATGTGTGAGGGACGGTCAGTATGCGTAATGGACAGTATCAGACTAGGACTCATAAGACCTGGGCTCCAATCTCCCTTCAGCCATGGAAACTTACCAAGAAGGTGGTGACAATGGTAAACCACTCTTTCAACATTTCACACACCTTGGAAACCCTGTGAGCTTCCCCTTAACTCAGAAATGATTCCATGGCACATGTAACAAAAAAACAAAGCACAAGGAGGGGTGGCATTTTTGCTTTTATCACTCTTCCAATGCAGAGGCACTTTTCTAAAAAGGAGAGCCCCCACAAACAAAATAGGTGTCAGAAAGTCGCCTTCCACATAGGAGGTATTGAAGAAAATCGGAAATGGAGGTGGTAATGGTGGAGTTAGCAAGCTCATCCCTGTTTTCCCTCCTCACATACTGGCAAGATTAAGCCAGAAAGAAAAAGGGGGAAACGTGGCAAAAAGCTGTGGAACTTGCAAGACTAACAGATTTATTTCAGTGTGAGTTTTTGTGGATCAAAATCCAATGCTTCGGATACAAGGAGAAAAACTACCGTGTCCTCTACATTCATACACACACTCCTCTATAATAGCTATGAAAAACAAGAAGAAAATGAGCACATTTTCAAGATACATTTATCTCTAGCATTTGCTCATCCCAACCAGAGAAAGGCAATTGTGGTTTTCCAAACATTGTTGAACTGCGACTTTCATCAAGCCTAGCCATTAAAAGGACAATGGTGAGGCACTGTGGGAGATTCAGTCCAGCAGCTTCTGAAGGACCATGAACTGCCAATCCCGAATTCAGAGGAAACTGTAGAAAGGGTTATTAAATCACAACTATGCACGGGTACGTTTGATATGCACAGCACGCTGAATATATGCATGGCATGCACAAATGGAAGCACTCCATAGGCCGACTGCTAGAGCAACAATGTTCTCTTCATTAAAATACCAGTAGAACTGTTCCCAGGAAAGATACAACGAATATTATTCAGGCAATTAATTTAAAGTCATCTTCTGAACCACCTAAGAAATCAATCTTACTTTTCTTTGAAAGGCAAACAGAACCTGCTTCAGCAAACTGATTGGTTTAACCTAGCTAACCGCACAATCCTATACAATCCAGAGCAAGCCTCACCATGTTTAATGGGGCTTGCACTTTGATTTGTGGAACAGAACATTCTGTCCTTAACTTCATCTTGGTCTCATAACACAGCTGCAACAACTATTTTACTTCACCTGAAAGCTTATAAATGAGGGCAAGAACATACCACAACAGAATTCATTCTCAAGTCTTCATATTCAGAAAAAATTTCAGAAAAGCAACATTTAAAGTATTTGAAATTATACTTAGCCAGAGTAGCTTACAAAGAGATCACACAACTGTAGAAGTTCAACTACTTAACAAGAGAAGCCAACTAACAAATTATGCTGCTAAAAATGATTATTATATGCCAGCTAAGCTCCTTATATAACTTAAAACATCCAACGATATGCTGGCATCCAACCCTTAGCAAATTCCTACAACCTTCTGCAATATCCCAAACTAGCTGCATACTGGGCAGCCATGGGAAGAGGGACTCTCCCCTCCCATTTTCATCAGCAGAATTAACCTGCTAGATCCTGGCCTTTCATTGACAACTACAGTGCTACATTTAAAGGCAGAGTTCGATAATTTTTTTGGTATGAAAATACCACTGGGCTTCAAGGTAATGCAAAATGCTGGAAATTCACCAGCTGTTATTTTTCATGGCAAATTTAAAAAGCAAACATCAAACCCTCCCTTCATTATCTGATTTTGGTTTCAGAAACCTCCAGAAAGCACCGTTCTTCAAATCCATATAGCAACGGTGCACAGTCTGTGGCTCTCCGTATGTGTTAGATATCAGCTCCCATTAGCTTCATGATAAAGCATTATGGGAGCTGAAGACTGAATCTGACATCTTGGCCACAAACAGCCACCCAGGGCTATTAATTCCCCACCCCAGACTGACACCCAGGTGTCCTGTTTTCCAACTTCTTCAGGAAGTAGCACCACCCCTGTTGCCCCTCTTCCTGAAAAAGACAGTCCTTGAAGGTCAGGAGATGGGTGAACATTGAGTTGCATTAGGAGACGGCATGAGCAGAACTGCATTCTGCTCTTGTAAATGGACTCTCCGGATTGAAGCTGGTATCTGCTGGTATTACCTGATACTGTAGAGCATCGAAGCCTTTGAATACAAATTCAAACAGGGTGTGAAGGTTATCTGGACTGGGGGATGTGACAAAAATGTTGGAGTAGCTATAAAAAGAGAGAAGATGAAACAGATGTTACAATCTGTTGCCCACCAAAATGGTAGAATAAACTCTGTATGCTATATGTCAAAACAGCTCAAATGGAAGGAAAAACACCAATGCAAAGTATATTATGATAAAGAAACCTGCAGTTTTCTTGAAAAAAATGAGGTTTCAAATGTATCATCATGTATTTTGCACTGCATATATAACATTTAAACATACACATAGCCACTCCAAAATCACCCCAGCTCCAATCTTAACTAAATAGAGACAAGGAACCCATGTGAAAGGCTAAGCAATCTTTCATTTTCTGCCATAGCTGCACCATCCCGACTTATAACTTGATTTCAGGCAATAAATTACAAATGAATCTAAGTATGTTCCACGACTGATTAAAAAGACTCCTTTTGGACAAACAAACATGAAGATTCCAGTTCTCAAAAATATTTCTTTCGTAAAATACCCAGGAGTAACTTACCCAAACGCTACTGCCCCAGCTATGGCCAGCCCCAAAGCAGCTGATTTCCCACGCCCTCTGGCAGCCGTCAAAGCCACGGTGCTTCGCAGGGTCTTCTCAGATATGGCTTCAATGAACTTCAGAACGGCTTTTGCCTACCAATACAGAAACAAGTAATCAGGCTAGATTTTGATGGCTGATTGATATTGTTAAAGAAGAACGGTTTCCCAACAATAAAAAAGAAAGAGAGGAGACATTAATAGAAGCTACACCAATTATGCTTAGTGCTTAGGTTTCATTAGCCACAATTTTTCAAACATAAAACTATACATACTGAGCAAGAACTAAATTTTTCAACATCTACTGTTATTTTTCTTTGCTTCCATTTACTTGCTCTTCTCAACAACCTACTGATTCATTCGTAGCATTTTTATACCACCATTTTTTCTTGCTAAAAAGACAGTGGAGCGGCACACCATGAATCTAATACAAAACAATGCAGGACAAGCCAACATTATTAATAAATGTTTGAAACAATAAAACTGCTTAAGAAAACATTAATATACTAAAAGTAACTTAAAATGCTAGGTTAAAAGAATGCCTCAACACCTTTCCTAAAAACCAAGAAAGCACCAGAATTCTGCTCTAGGCAGAGTGCAATCAAACATTCTGGAGCTCTTCTCTATGTATTTAAACAGACCTCTGCAGGCAACAGCATCTCTCAGGAACACCCTGTCAGGCAGAACTTTAGAAAGAAACAGATTTATAATTAGTCCCTCAAACAGGCTCCAAGCCATTTTCAGATTCCAAAGATTAAAAACCACACCTTGGAGTCAGCAGGGCCACCTCCATCAAGGTTTCTTAGCGTTGGTACAATTGGATTTTGGTACTGTGTACCAGTTAGCAGCCTTCTAGCAAAATGTCTGCAAGCAAAGGAGGCTTCAGTAGCTAAGCCACCACGTGTGTATGCTATCCCTGTTTGAACTCACTTACCTGATCCAAGGTTTTACAACTATCGACCAGCACGCCTACAGGTTGTGTATCCAGGAGACTTTCTTTCAACTCCTTCAATTCTATATCCTGAGGACTCAGACTGTCTTCCTATCGGGGAGAAAAAGAGTTGCCCAAAATCAATAAAGAGCTGCTACTTCTAAAGCAAACACAAACACCCTAAAGCACAAGTCATGGCAAGTTCATTTCAACAGAAGCTGGGAAAATGAACATTTTCCTGCAGCTTTTAATCAAACGACTCTGATCACACCTAAGGGATATACATTGTATAAATTATGCCGAATTATCTCCCAAAGCAATAAAACCCAGAGTGCTTACAAAATATGAAATAGTGACAATAATGTAAAGAAAGTGAAATTCAGATTAGCCTGTTAATGTCATTTCAAAGATGCAAACACAAAAATGAACCAAGAGTGTACGAGACTGGTTAATTATGACATATATTGTGGAAATCAAATGCAAAAATAGGCTATAGCTTTATAGACCACTAAAAATCATCATACAATATAGGAGCTTTTATGGATCAAAAACCACTTCATCAGGTTTGTGAGACCACTAAAAATTATCATACAATATAGGAGCTTTTATGGTTCAAAAACCACTTCATCAGGTTTGCACCAGTGAGAAGTCCAAAAAGTTCATGGCATGATGGATTTTGCCACAAAAGTTACTCTTAGATGTTAAGTCCAAAGGTTCTTGGCAAGTTGGAATTTGCCAGGCACATCTCTTTTACATGTTAGCCAAGAAATAGTATGGTTGCATGCGGGAGCAAACACCCTCCCTGTGGCAATAGTAATCTTCCTCCCCAAAAGATGTCAAAGGATAAGAATTTTTACTCTGTTGGCTACTCATCACCCAGGCTCCAACTGTGCTATTCCACTGACAATTTCCCCTGCCTTCTCTATCTACATCCAATTGTATTCTGCACACCTAGGAGCCCCTCCAGAGGGGATCTGGGGACATTGCAGAGAGTTGCAGAAGGGAGAAGGGAAGGAGTGGAGTAATGGAAGTGTATCAATGCACTTAGAACAGTCCCGTTTTTCACCTACAACTCCGCATGGCTCGGCCACCAGGGCCATGGATTTTTCCATTGTTTCCCAGTTCTCTTCTCCCCGTGTGACTGCGAGGACAAAAAGTAGTAGCCACCCCCACCTTTCCCAACCCAAGAGGAGGCACAAAATGGCCACTTTTTGCAGTTCATAAAAATCTCTCACATCTTCTACAAAGCACTTTATTTCAAAAAGAGAAAAGAGTCCTGCTGCTAGTCAAAAAGTGGTGTGAAAATATGGGTTAGACAAGTCCAAAATAATCTTGAGTTTTAACACAAAGCCCCAAACCCACAGCTTTTATCAGAAAAGTACCCACCTGAGACCGAGGAGGAATAGCTTGTATGTTTGCAACATGGCTAGAGATCGGGAGAATGTTAAGCTGATCATCAACTACCATGCAGGTTTTGCAAGAGGCAAGAGACAGAATGAACCTGCAGGATGAAATAAAGGATGCAATAAAATCAACCATGTTGGAATGCATTTGTGTGGAAACATTTCTGACGCTTTCCATGGAAACCTCATATCACATTTGCTTTGGCATAATTCTAGCAGAAAAGTCTCCATATTTGTTCTCTGCCCACAAACTATTCCACTTTTTGCTGCTCATCTTCATAGGATATATATTCCCCTAAATAAAATGACTTAAAAGAAATCTTTATGTACGGTACATCTTGCCAGTCTGCACAAATAGCTTCTGTCCTAGCTTTCTTCAACCTGGCCCCCAGCAGTTACTTGAAACTACCACTCCTATCAGCTCCAGTGGGGTACCTCTACAAAGTTTTAGGATAATTTTTTCACTTACTCATTAATGATCTGGGATATACAGGTAAACAGGGAGGTGGTCAGCCTGAAGATCAGATGACACCATATGATGGAAGATACAGTGGTGTCTCGCAAGATGAAAGTAATTCGTTCCGCGAGTAGCGCTGTCTTGCAAAATTTTCATTTTGCAAAAAGCGGTTTCCCATAGGAATGCATTGCAATGCATTCCTATGCGACCCTCGCAAGACAAATGAATTATTTTCGTCTTGTGAGGCATCAGTCTTGGGGGGGAAATCGTCTTGCGAAGCACAGCCATAGAAGAAGCCGTCTTGCGAGGCACCACAGCAATCGCAAAAAACATTTGTTTTGTGGGTTTTTCGTCCCTCGAGACGTTCGTCTTGTGAGGCACCACTGTACTTAAAACAACAAGGGAAAGGCTCGTTCCAACATGGGGAAATAAATGGCAATTAGTTTTTCAGATCAATGATTCCTCAGATTCCAGCCAGTATTGGTACTGGTCATTAGGGGTCTGAATTTTAAAGTGCTAAGTTTTCCAAGCGCTGAATGAATTTTACAAAGGCACACCTGCTTCAGTCTAAGCAAATAAGAAGTGATGTTCCTGGGGAACAGAAGGAGGCTAATTTCACAAAAGGCTGACAAAGTCCGAGTTGATGCTGACCAATGCACTGTGACAAGGTTTTCTCTCTAGAAGCATAGCTAATAAAATTTCTAAAGGCATCAGCTCTCTAATCCTGTTTTAGCCAGTTTTACAGCAACACTAAGGGAACAACCAGACTCACAATTCAATTCCCATTTCCAACATATATCTAGAATCTAGATTCTAGACATTATGTAGACTGTTGCACCTCTTTCTAAAGCATTACTCACGAGGTCTGGAAGATCATTAGTGTATGAAGTAAATTCACTAAATAGACAATATCAGAGGTTCTCAGATTTTATCACTGCAAGCCCATTCTCCTTAAAGTCTGAATATATCCATCCTATGTAAAAAAAAAAAAAAAACTTCCACAATCTGTTATCCTCCAGATTAGATCTCTTAGATGCAATTTCTCATTATCTCCAACTGGTGTCTGTATTAGCTAGGGCTGATGGGAAGCACAGTTTAAAATATCTTTTTTAAAAAACAACCAGATGGAGGTCCCTGCTACACAAACACAACACATGTGCTGAAGAACCAGCTTAACATTTTCTACTGTGTTTTCCTGAAAATAAGACAGGGTCTTATACTAATTTTTGTTCCAAAAATGCATTAGGACTTATTTTCAGGGGATGTTTTTTTTTCCATGTACAACAATCTACAACTATTCAAATACAGTCACGTCCTCTTCTTCTGGCTGCTGCACAATGATGGAGGGCAGGGTTTCACTTAACTGGGGCTTGTTTTGGGGGTAGGGCTTATATTACGAGCATCCTGAAAATCATACTAGGGCTTATTTTCAGGTTAGGTCTTATTTTCGCAGAAACAGAGTATTTAGCCCACATCACACCATATCCCAGTACTGTCCACCCGAATGCAAAAATAAATGTAGCATCAAATTGATTTAATCAGTAATTTGTCACACTGAAACAAGTACACATTTAGCAGTGCTTGCTCTTCTAAATCAGGAAGGTGCAACACTTTATCCTGTAAACATTTTAGAATACAATACTATACCCACAATCCCATAATAGGGAAAGCTAAAGTGATCTGTTTACCCAAAGATCCGGTAAGTCAAGGTTTGCCCACCCCACTCTAAGCGATCAGATCACTTTTCTGATCACCATTATTCCTAAAGGTAATCCATAGTTCCTCAGTACTTCCGCTGAAGCCTTGCGAACCTTTGGTTTGCAATATTAAACAGATCTGGAACCAAATCTGACCAGAATGCCCAGTGAACACATCGCTTAAGTAGATAAATACAATTTACCGGCTGATATACCCTTGTGAGCAGGTATGCTCAAAACAACCCACACAACCCACCTTTCATTGAATCTGCCAACCACATCTTGATGTGCCTCTGTCCGGTAGCGAGAATGTACATCCTACAAAAAGAAAGAGTTTTCCATATGAAAACTGAAGGCCTCCTTGAAAAATAAAATACATAATCCGCAAAACAGAGAGTAGCGAATTATCACACCACCGCTGTTGAGACTGTGCTACTCTGCTCACATTTTGCCAAACACATTCTAAATGTTTCAAGTTTGATTTTGGAAGAAAAGGCTAAGTAAAAACAGATGGTTGTGAGACCATACCCACATTTCAGATTCATGCCAGCTAAGTAAGTTTTCAGAAACATTTGTGGTATGTATCTAGAGATGTGCTTACTGTGTCCTCCAAGTCACTGTCTTACACATTGACAAATCCTAGAAATGGTTGTTCTGGGTTTTTGGGGCTCTTTGGCCATGTTCTGAAGGTTTTTCTTCCTGACGTTTCGCCAGTCTCTGTGGCCGGCATCTTCAGAGGACAGCACAGAGAAGAGCACAGAGTGCTGTCCTCTGAAGATGCCAGCCACAGAGACTGGCGAAACGTTAGGAAGAACAACCTTCAGAACACAACAACCATTAGATCCCGGCTGTGAAAGCCTTTGCGAATAAATCCTAGAAACATAGACCATTTCGTTATAGGAGAAGGCAACCTAACCCAAACACCCCAGCTACTATTCCAAAATCAGGAAGCACCAAGACAAAAACAGTGATGATAAGAACACATTTGGGGAGTGTTTTCCTGAACCCTGTAGTCACAGAGTCATAGATTTGGAAGAGACCACTGAGGCCATCCAGTCCAACCCCCCGCCACGCGGGAACATCTATCAAAGAATTCTCAATAGATGGCCATCCAGCCTCTGCTTAAATACCTCCAAAGAAGGAGACTCCACCACCCTTTGAGGCAGCCCATTCCACTGCCGGACAGCTCTGACCATCAGGAAGTTCTTCCTAATGTTCAGATAGATCCTCTAGTCAGTTGCTAAGGCCACCATCTTGCATGTGCATCATATTTTTACTCTTCAGCTTTCACCTACATAGCAAAGCAAGCCAGTTATCGGTTAAGGATACATCAAAGTTTCTTAAGTAACCATACCATGGTCATAGTGTAGAGCTGTTTCAGGGAGTTCATTGTTCTCAGAAGAATAGCGACAATGCCCCCACCTTCCACTGTTTCAACAGTTCTAGCTAGCAGATTTGGTGTCAAGGCTTCAAAGTCCTAGAGGTTATACAGAAAAGCAACAAGTTATCTTCAGACACAATATACCTTTATTACACTGATACCACCGTGCCATCCAGAAAGCCAATGATCACAAGTGCCCACCACCAAAAATAAAAGCCCTCCAAATAACACATAGTGAAAAGAATATTTTTTCCTACTGGGAACGGAAGGACATCCTTACAGTGTTTTGTCCTACCCACTTGATAGAATCTTAAAGCCAATCATATTTGAGCCCCTGGTTCCTTTTGATGGTGAGGACAACTCAAGAATCCAGTCTAAGTTCCTGTTCCTTATCTTCCCTCAGTTCTCTATATGCTTTCTTATTTCTTTTTCTTTATCCTTCTTTGGCTCTCTCTTTCCTCTCACCTCTGGGATGCACCTGCTGGAGATGTGTTGCATCAAGAGGACAGATCCAGGGCCTTCAGTGTATCTGCAGAACCTCACGAGGCAGTCTATGGCTAAGCCCAAGGCAATGCCTTGGCCTACTGGACAAGGGAAAATGGGAGCTCCCTGTGCAAGAGGGGAGCCTGTACAGCAGACCTGCCATATGCACTTATAGAGGCCTCACAGGATGCATGCCAGTCAGCAAAAGGTCCTTATTTGCCTCTGCTTGCATCATTGAAAGCCATGCACCGTATTCAAGGTTCTACTCCAGGAGAGTCCTGGTGCTTCTAGTGCCTCAGCTCTCCACTGACAGTGTCCCACAGGAGGCAGGGACCCTCAGGATATGAGTGGAGTCCTCCCACCCAGTCCCCCTCTGTTGCTTCAGCCTGGCAGGACAAAAATCCTCAAGACAAGGCAGAGAGCGGTGTTCCCCACCACCACCTTTGGTCTCCATGAACCTGGCAAAAAAAGAGCAATTATGTCCACATGTATCTCTTCCCACATGACACCCATTTCAAGAGCCTTCGGGATGGAGGAACCAGCAAGAAGCAGCACCATTTTGAAGCATGTGGCCTCCAACAGCATGGAGGGTCTATGAACTAAATGGGCGGTATACCCCTTCAGTTCACTGTCCTCAGGAGTGAGATTTCTCTCTTCTCCTTATTCTTCTGAAAGTGAAAGGGGGGGCAATTACCTCTAAGCATCAGAGGCCAAGGAAGGAAACAGAGCTGTCTGTGGAGAAGGCGTGCCTCTCCTTCAGAAGGCCTTCTGGACATAGATTGGAAAGGCCCAGAAATCCCAGCCAGATCTTTGAGCCAAGCTTGGGGAACGTCTTTGTGAAAGCTCCCCTCCTTCTCAGAGTTCCTGTTCCCTTGTGCATTCCTCATGGATGTTAGAGGAATGGGAGGAATATGCAGCCCGCTGAGGAAATTCTTTTTAAGCTTTTTAGTAGTTTTATAATCAGCCACATTCTGTTAGCAACAAACTATCAGTCTCCCCCACTCTACTATTCATTAGGATACAAAAGAAACATCTCATAGGACCGTATTTTTGCGTGTATAAAACGACACTTTTTCCTAAAATAATGAACAGAAAAATTGAGGGTCATTTTATACATAGGAGGGGGGAGGGATCAAAGTGCTTTGATCCCTGCTTCCCCCTTCCACATTTTGCAAAGATAATGGAGGGAGAAAGCGATTCCTGCTTTCCCCCTACATTGTCGTTGCAACGAAAATGTAGAGGGAAAGCAGGAATCACTTTCCCCTTCCACTTTCTTGCAAAGAAAGAAAATCTGGGTTAGAAAAGTGGGGTCTTATACATGGGGGTGTCTTATACACTGAAAAATATGGTAAGTGCCAATGTTACTTTTGCTAAACAGAGCTAGTAGACTTTTAATTTAAATTCATGCAAACACTGCTGATTTCCTGTAGAGCTGGATCATCCATGGCCTATGCACTGAGGTACTGCTGTTAAAAACCTGCTTGTATTTTTGGGCTGCTGGGGGGCAAATGTATGCCTTAACAATCAGAAGAAATGAAATATTATTTAACCTGATCCACTGAAAGACATTCAAGTTTTACCCATATTAACTGACAAGTACATACTTTCATTATTCTGGCACAAACCTGACCTTCCTACTGGTCACAAGAAATGACTGGCAAAACTGTTATGGTTCAGACAATCATCCTTCTGCTTAATAAGCATATAATGCAATGCAAACGTGGATGGAATGGAGAAGTCTCAAATTAATCATAGTTTTCATTTTCCCAGTTTGGGAAAATATGATTGCTAGTCTCAAAACAAGCTAGTCTTAAAAAAACTTCAAATCATGTTTTAAGAGCCTATTTTATTTAGACAAAAAGAAAATGAAGGGTTAATTTCAGGATTGTGTATTAACCAAGAATATTTCCTGTATTTTACAGGTTTCTAATGACTTTTTAAAAGAAATACAATTACTAAATGCTGCTAGTAACACAAACTGAAAATATCTGTTCTGCAAACTTGTATTTTAACAGCATGAGTACCCATATCTGCACTGCGTTCCGCTCAGGAGAAAATGCTATGAAGAAATGTAACCTGGCCAAGGACTTGCATGAAAAGGACTCTCACTTCTGGAGCATCCTACCTGGAGTACGCACATGCCAAAAGTATTCCCAAGAATTTTGTGTGTCTCATTGTAGTAACAATACCGAATATTTGTAGCTGCTATAAACAACTCAAAAGGGTCATCTTGCTTTAGATCCAACATTCCAGTTTTAATCTTTTTCTGTAGCTGTCTCATCCTTTTTTTACGGTGGCTGAAAAGAAAACAGGCCACATTAGAATCACCTTTGCTCTGTTAACTGAGAGACACTAAGGAAAACAGGTGTAATTAAACATTCAGTTGTGGCTAAAAGATGGAAGGTGGAGATGCAATCATTTAACAGAAATCTAGGCTTGAGAATCAACTTGGAGAGGAAAAATGAAAAGCAGCATTGGATCAGACCAAAATTATTTACACCACCATTCTGTTCCCCTAATAAGCAAACACCTATGCAAAACCCAAACGCTGGAGAAGACTGAAACTTCACAGACATGTACGTGTATATTCCTGCTTCCCTGCAAATGATATATGAAGGACCACCGCTTCTGGCACTGGAGAAAATATATATACCCTCATGACATATATCCATTTATTTGGGTAAACAACAAGATGCTCGAAAGAAGAATGGCATCAGCATCAATAATTAGAGTGCCACACGTGATGTTCCCAAATGTCTATTCTACATAATAAACTGAAGAATGCATTTAATTTTTCCCATCCACCAGAAACAGATATTCCACCGCTTCTGGCACTGGAGAAAATATATATACCCTCATGACATATATCCATTTATTTGGGTAAACAACAAGATGCTCGAAAGAAGAATGGCATCAGCATCAATAATTAGAGTGCCACACGTGATGTTCCCAAATGTCTATTCTACATAATAAACTGAAGAATGCATTTAATTTTTCCCATCCACCAGAAACAGATATTATTATTATTATTATTATTATTATTATTAGTAGTAGTAGTAGTAGTAGTAGTAGTAGTAGTAGTATTAGCATTATTAGCATTATTAGCATTATTAGCATTATTATTAGTATTATTAGTACTATTATTAGTATCAGTATTAGTATTATATCCCGCCTATCTGGTCAGGTCAGGACCACTCTAGGTGGCTATTCTTGCTAATGACTAGCAAACAATAAAAAAAATGCAAAGTTTTATAAACTGTAGCTCTGCAACATACTTGTAACACTTCCATTAAATGAAAAAGTAAAAATGGCAAGATATAAACAATTTTACCTGCTAAAGCCCAGTTCTTTCTTATAACACCATAATACCGATGGTCTCGCCTTTACAGCTGCTTTAGACAACATATGATGGAGTATAACCACCTGGCAAGTGATCAGAAAGAAATCCACCATTAGTTCTACAGAAAGCCAAGCAAAATATTTGTGAATCTGATTTGGAAAATGTCACAGGTTGAAACAGGTTTGCAAATGATTCCACACAGGGACAAGTAATAGAACTTTCAACACACAATTATCTCTTAATCTACAAGAGTAACATTTAGGAGACAAGACAGATGAATGGATAGACAGATGGAGAGATAAGATGCCCCTGCCAAACAGCTTTGAACTTAAGCAGTTTTTAAAGAAAAGACCTAAATCAAAATTATTAAGACGTTACAGGTGAATCGACAATTATATTTTCTCTCTAACTTTGTTTCTTACCATCAGGGAATTTTGGCATTTTACCTTACAAGGAAAAAAAACTGGATTCACCGTATTTTTCTGTGTATAATACATCCACATGTATAAGACGCCCCCCCACCTTTCTAACCAAGAATGTCTTTCTTCGCAAAAAGTGGAGAGGGAAAGCAGGAATCAAAGCGCTTTTATCCCTCCCTCCTCCTTACTTCTGTGCATAAGAAAACCCTAAATTTTTAATCTAAATATTAAAAGAGAGAAAATTCTTGCAAAGAAAGTGCAGGGGGAAAGCAGGGATCAAAGTGCTTTGATTCCTCCCTCCTCCTTACATCCGTGTATAAGACGATCTTAAATTTTTAATCCATTTTAGAGAAAAATATTGTCTTATACATGGAAAATATGGTAATATTCTTTAAAATGGAGGCACAACATAGGTGCGGATAGCTGTTTCTTCTTCCCAGTGGCCTATGATAGAGTCCCAGGTACCTGAAACCACCTCAGATTCTAGGAGAGGCTAATTTCACTTGTCACTAAAAAACAGCCATTGCTCCTTTTTTCCTTTCCAAATTTGCTCCAGAATTCTACCCAAAGGATGGAAGGCTGAATGAACCTCGAGTTGGCTACCTGGGATTGTACCCAGGTCGTGAGCAGTTTTGGTTGCAGTACTGCAGATTAACCACTGCACCATGAGGTTCCTTCCAATAGGGAAAAAATGGATTTTGTAATGAAAACTTAAAAGATGTAGATAGATTTCTATACACTTAGTCAAATGGCAATCACTGCACATATGTCCACCATGTCAATGTAAATACAGGGATAGATCACAGAGTTTTTTAAAAAATGCCAAAAGATAATGTGAAGCACCTTTGCATTCAAGACGTAGTGTGGCAACCACAGGTAACCAGGGATTGTGTGCAGGCAAATGAACCAGCTCACAGAGGAGGAGTTTTTTTTCCTTTTTGCTCCCTTTATACCTAGTATTTAATCTAAGCGGCTTGCTAGAAGAGAAAAGCAGCTCTCCAAATCATTTCTGCCAGTTCCCTGCAGGATATTAAAAGGTTTTGCAGGCTAGTAACTTTTCCAGGCTTACTTTAAGGCTGACTATATCTTTAACCAGCCTTCTGCAAACTGGTTCCCTCCAGATGCTTTAGACCAGTGGTTCTTGCAATGTCAGTTAACATGGTCAATAACAATGAAGCATGGGAGTTTGAAAGTCCAAAACCCCTGAAGGGGTAACATGGGGGGCATGTCTTACGTATCTTTAACCAGCCTTCCCCAAACTGGTTCCCTCCAGATGCTTTAGACAGCAACATTTAGCAATGTCAGTTAACATGGTCAATAACAATGAATCATGGGAGTTTGAAAGTCCAAAACCCCTGAAGGGGTAACATGGGGGGCATGTCTTAGATAACGATGGAAGAGTCTCATCCATAAGCAGGTCGATGTACATCTACAATGATCTGTGGCTATCCATTCACTGCTTGAACATACAATCCTAAAATGACAAAGCCACACATTCCACATGAACAGTTTCCTGCAGCTGGTGTCCTTTAGAGATGGACTACAACACCCATGACTCCTGATCTTTATCCACCTTATCTGAAGGTGACAGGAACTGTGGAAGGCATCATGCTGGGAAAGGCTGCATAAGCCCTTCCATACCATCACATTACATCGGCCTTCCCCAACCCAGCACCCTCCAATGTGCTCGACGAGAATCCTATCATCCTCCAGCTTGTATGACTACAATGTAAAAAAGTTAGTTTGGAGAGTCACCAGTCACACCTTACCTGATCTTTGCCACGATCCCCTACGATAACAAAGAGTGTCCTGTGCCGTTCAGCCACTCCATTTTCTATCAGCACCCGAATGCGGTTATCCACTTTCTTCCTCTGCATTTTGGTGAAAGATCCTGTACAATGGGTAAAGATTACAGCCCTTTCGATCAAGCCGGTGTGCTATTAAGATAACAGTTGGTGGCCAAATGCTACAGAAATTCTGCTCAGCCACGAGCAATCCAAAGGCTATGTGTGCTTCCTCACGGTAGATTCTACCACCACATGCCACTGCAGCCTTAAACTCACAATTCCATCTTTTTAACCCTAACAAGAAACATTAGAAATGTTGACACTGCAGGATAATTCCTAACAGCAAGCAGTAGCTGTAAGCAAGCTACACCATGTCTGATCATCGTAATCTAATTTTAGCAAAGTAAACAATAGAATTGGAGTTTTCTTGGCAAAGAATTACTCAAGCCCCTTCGTCATGACAAGGCAGCAATCCATGAAGGGAACTAAATAAAAGCCTTTGACTGTGTGGACCACAGCAAATTATGGCAAGTTCCAAAAGAAATGGGAGTGCCTCACCACCTTATCTATCGCCTGAGAAATCTATATGTGAGACAGTAAGCAACAGTTAGAATTGGATATGGAACAACTGATTGGTTCAAAATTGGGAAAGGAGTATGCCAAGGCTGTATATTGTCTCTCTTTTTATTTAACTTATATGGAGAATACATCATGCAAAAGGCTGGACTGGAGGAATCCCAAAACGAAATTAGGATTGCCAGAAGAAATAGCAACAACCTCCGATATGCAGATGATACCACTCTGATGGCAGAAAGTGCGGAGGAATTAAAGAACCTCTTAATGAGGGTGAAAGAGGAGAGCACAAAAAATGGTCTCAAGCTCAACATCAAAAAAAAACTAAGATCATGGCCACTGGTCCCATCACCTCCTGGCAAACAGAAGGGGAAGATATGGAGGCAGTGACAGATTTTACCTTCTTGGGCTCCATGATCACTGAAGATGGTGACAGCAGCCACGAAATTAAAAGACACCTGCTTGTATGGGTATACTGTGTATATACTTACAATGACAATAAATTATTATTATTCTTGAGAAGAGAGCAATGACAAACCTAGAGAGCATCTTAAAAAGCAAAGACATCACCTTGCCAACAAAGGTCCGCATAGTCAAAGCTATGGTTTTTCCAGTAGTAATGTATGGAAGTGAGAGCTGGACCAGAAAGAAGGCTGACCACCAAAGAATTGATGCTTTAGAATTGTGGTGCTGGAGGAGACTCTTGAGAGTCCCCTGGACTACAAGCAGATAAAACCTATCAATTCTGAAGGAAATTAACCATGAGTGCTCACTCGAAGAACAGATCCTGAAGCTGAGGCTCCAGTACTTTGACCACCTCATGAGAAGAGAAGACTCCCTGGAAAAGACCCTGATGTTGGGAAAGTTTGAGGGCAAGACGAGAAAGAGACAACACAGGAGGAGATGGTTGGACAGTGTCATCAAAGCTACCAACATGATTTTGACCCAACTCCAGGAGGCAGCGGAAGACAAGAGGGCCTGGCGTGTACTGGTCCATGGGGTCATGAAGAGCCAGACACAACTTAATGACTAAACAACAACAACAAACAATATCATTACTAGTTGTTATCTTGCTCCTATCATGTTCATTCTAACAAGCTCAAGGTGATGGGATAACAACATAAATAAACAATAAATAGTACAGTATTATAACAATACCATAGTGAAAATATAATCAACACTTCAACCAAAAATAGGTTTGTGTCAGAGCGCTGTAATTCGCCTTTTTTCTTTCAAAAGCCTCTACTGCCTGCACCTTTCTCGAAATAAATCAATCCCAAAATTAAGCAGAACTAGTTACAATAAACACGTGAAGCGAAAATGTTAATTTCATCCTGCCCAGTCCTACTTTAGAATCTGTAGCTGAGGGTGCGATCCTTCATTTGCTAATCTAGATGTTTCTCTGAGTCAATATGAACATGATTGCACCCTGAGTTAGCAATATCGAGCAGATGAAAACGTTCGGAAGTCATAGAAGTTCAACAGACATTTATGCATCAAGGCAATGAAGCAAAAGAGAAAACCAAGAACTCTGCAGACATATTCAAAGGCGGTTCTTGTTGGACCCACAACGTATGTTCACAGACTTGCCTGACCACCAGGATGTTTCTGTCGGCAGAAACCGGCCAGGAAAAGGCCAGTGTTTAAAACGTTACTGCCACTGTCAATACTGCCGGCACCTAATGACCTCTGACCTTACTGCAACTACAGCCCACCCACCCCCCAAATTCTGCACGATTATATGCCTAGACTTCTGGACAACATTTCCCTCAGCTGACCAAGGCCACCAAAGTTCATGCTGCCATCAAACCGGCCCGCTTTTAAGACCGTGCGTGGCTTATTCCTTCTGCCCAACAGACTAACACGGGGAAAGGGGGGGGCGCTCCCTTGGGAGGGGCCGACCGAGCACGAGATGGGGCCCCGGGGCTTCCCCCCACCCCAACGCCAAACCCGGCCGCCTCGGCTTCACCGCTCAACTCACTTTCCCCCGCGTCTCTCCTGCTCTGGCGCCGCGCTTGCCACGGTCCTGACACTCAGCCGGAGGCCGGCTCCCCACGTGCACAAAAAGAGCACGTGGGCTGCGCGGCGGCGAAGAAGGACCCCGCCGGCTGGCTTCGGGGCAGGTCGCAAGGATGCCTGAGAGAAAAAGAAAAAAAGAAAGAGAAAGAGATAGAGAGATAGAGAGAGGAGAAAACAACCGAGCCAATCTCGGCAATAAGCACATTTCCGGGGAGAGGAGCTCAGCACTGCGCCGCCCAGGGACAGCAAGGGGGAGGTGAAATCTCCCACGGGGGGGGCCTTTCTCTTGCCGCGGCGCCGCCTCTTGCGCAAGGGCTTGGGCACGCAGGAGAGGGAGGAGGCGGTTCTCAGCCCTGGGCGGGAACAGAGGCGGCGCTTTCGTTTTTCCCTTTCTCCCCTGGCTTCACAACAGCCCTTATCCACGCTTTTGTAGATAAAGGATCGCGCCGCCTCCCGCCGGCGGAGCTCCGCGCCTGCTCGAGAGCAAGTCTCTTTCGTTCTGAACCAGACTGTAAAGCCCTCTTCGCTTCTTTACCTGTCGGTATTTTTTTCCCCGAAGGACTTGTCGCACGTTATGTCAGATTCTTCCAGCAACCCTCCAAGGCGAATACTGTAGCGAGTTGCGTAAGACGCTCAGGAAGCTCGTGACTGGCCGTTTTTGTTGGTGGTCCTTGTTGCATACTCAGGTACCACACTACTAATGATGGATGAGCTATTAAATAAGCCACCCGCCGCTGCCGCCGCCGCAGATGCTGAAAACCAGTTGTGGTAATTACGTGGAAATAAGTTTCTTGGTTTTTTCCTAATTTTTTTTAATTCATACATATCCAACATACAAAACAAAAAACACTAAAAACCTATCAATAATAACAAAGGCATCACAACTAAACATCCACACTACATTACATCTACACTACAAACATCTACATTGTTTTAATGTGTTTTAATGTTTGTAAGCCGCCCCGAGTAGACGTTGTCTAGAGGGGCGGGGTAGAAATTGAATAAATAAATAAATAAATACCCCTATAGATCAGAGATTTTGCCATTGTCTGGTCATCAAAATATCAAAGGATTCTGGTGAGCACTGATTCACTATAAACTAACTCTTCTCCTAAGTTCCTGTCTTTTCCTGGGCTCAATTAAATATCAGCTTCTAGCTTTCCTTTACAAAATATATCAGTTGATCCAGTAGTGCCTCTGAAAGCATATCTAGTTCTGCAATGTTCAACAGTTTATTTAATAGCTCAACGATCATTAGTATCTCTCCATTCTTCCATTTTTGGGCCCAGAGTAACCTAGCTGCAGTAAATATATACAGTAGACTATATTTTGTGTTTTTATTAATAATTTCTGGCATTATATTCAGTAATATTTCAGGTTTAAAACTTAATTTTTGCTGAACAATCTCTGACATTTCCCAAACCTGTGACCAATTTATTATCATTATCATTATCATTATCATTGTTGTTGTTGTTATTGTTATTGTTATTTGCATTTTCACACAACCACCATGTATAAGTCCCTGGATTTTAAAAAAAATTAACATTTCCAACAAACATGACTGATCCCTTCTGACATTTTTGCCAATCTTGATTCAACCCAGGACCTACTTGTTTGACTTTCTGGCAATCCAGGATATCCACAACGCTGTCCTCCAACATCACATTTCAAATTAATCAATGTCCTTGCTATCAGCTTGAATACTGTCCTTTGCTGACCGTAACATTTGTTGTATTTTTGTGGTGGGCTTGAATACTGTTTGTAGGTTTGTGTTTTTTCAAAAGTTTCTCCATGTGGGGAAACTTCTGAAAAAACACAACCTACAAACAGTATTCAAGCCCACTACAAAAATACAACAAATGTTACAGTCAGCAAAGGACAGAAGGGACCCCTCACCACTGCAGGAGTATACCGGATACCTTGCAGTTGTGGACAGGTATATATTGGAACCACAAAATGCAGCATTCACACCAGAATCAAAGAACATGAGAGACACTGCAGATTAAAACAACTGGAAAAAAACGCAGTAGCTGAACATGCCCTAAAACAAGCTGGACATTAAATTCTATTTCAAAATACTGAAGTACTGTATTGGACAACACCAGCAATCTGTATGTTAGACTGCATAGGGAAGCCATTGAAATCCATAAACAGAACTTCAACAGAAAGGAAGAAGGCCTAAAGCTAAACATGGCCTGGCTCGCAATTCTGAAAAATGTAGCCTGCAAAAGGTTAACGAACTCTACCCAACCACAAGGGCCAGGGGGCCAGGGATCATTGCACAAAAAAGACCAGCTAACGACACCCATCAATCACAGTGACAGATAATCTCTCCCCCTTTTATCACAACAAAAACATGCTGATCACCGTATCTCCTGAAAAAAGACAAAAGCTGTTCCCACAGCTATAAATACTCTGTAGCTAGAATTTATTTGGGTAAACAGCTGAAATAACAAAAATTTTGTCAGTGTCCAATTATTTTCAGACCTAACTGTATAAACCATTTATTGCAAAAAGAGATGCTTCTACTCTTTTAAGTGTTCCTGTTCCTTCATCTGAAGTTAGTTCAATAAATCCTGTTGTTTCCATAAGATGACATTGGAGAGCTTGGGGGAGGGGGTGCACAGACATACAAAAAAGAGCCTCGTGGTGCAGTGGTTAAAACGCTGTACTGCAGCTAAAACTGTGCTCACGACCTGGGGTTCAAATCCCAGGTAGCCGGCTCAAGGTTGACTCAGCCTTCCATCCTTCTGAGGTCGGTAAAATGAGTACCCAGCTTGCTGGGGGGGGGGGGCAATGTATAGCCTGTATAATTAAATTGTAAACCGTCCAGAGAGTGCTTGTAGCGCTATGGGGCGGTATATAAGTCCAATAAATAAAATAAATAAACAAGTGTCCAAAATAAGGACAGTGTGTGCATGCTAGAGCAGGCTGCCTACACTAATAGTTGTTGGTTTTATCTATGCCTGTTTGTTGCATATTCTTGGGATATTGGGTGTGTAGAGACCTGTCTATAGTGAACAAGAGATGTTCAAACTGGTCCAGACATTAATCATGGCAGAGACAATACCTAGAGATGCCACTAGCCACAAAAGAAGAGTAGACAGCAAAGAATTGCAGGGATGGCCTGCAATTCTCCAGGATGGCCACAAGGCAAAAACTGTGAATGAAGTGAGCAAAATATGCTAAAAGTAACTAATCTGTATCAGCTTATAAAGCTATCTCTATACAAGCACCTTTAAAACAATGCAGTAATACTTAGTAGCCAACACACGTTTGTCAAGAACAAATCCTGTCAGACAATTCTTACCTCATTTTTATTGAGTAATCTCCCTAGTAGATGGTGGGAATGCTGTATATCTTGACTTCAGTAAAACTTTTGACAAAATGCCCCCTGATTTTGAATTGCAAACTAAATAGGTGTGGGCTGGATAGCACAAGTGTTAGGTTGATATACAGATACAGAATCGTGCTCAGTGCTTATCAATGGCTCCTTCTCAAAGTGGGAGAAAGTAACAAGTGGGATACCACAAGACTCAGTCCTGCGCTTAGTGCTCTTCAAAAGTGTTATTAATGACTTAGATAAGGGGGTGCAAAGAGTGCTTATCAAATTTGACACAAAATTGGGTAGAATAGCAAATACCCTGGAAGACAGGAACAAAATAGCACCAACCTCCAAATCATATGAAGTACAGTACTAGTTCCCTATATTCAGCACATTTTGTGTACTGTGTCCACTTGTGGACACTGCACTTTAAGAAGGATGTGGACAAACTGGAACAAGTTCAGAGGAGGAATATGGATGATCATGGAACTGGAAAGACTTGCTTAGCCTTAAGAAAAGTCTGAGTGAGGGAGGCGCTTTCCATGGCTGGAGACAAAGTCTTTTCGTAGATGAAAGAACGGAGTCTTTAGCGTCTTAATTGATCACTTGCTTAGAAAAAAGTTTGCAGGTAGGGCAAGTTTGATCAAGGTGAAATTCTCCCAGACAAAATAAGCATTTTTTGTGCCCGTCTGATAGAGGGATTTTTCGGGAACAGACGGCACACTGCTTGAAGCCCCGAGGGGCCATAAAAGAAAAGGGGGATCCATGGATGGGGGGGGGGAACGCAACAGAACTCAAAAATAAATGGATCAAATAATGGATTCTGTCGAATAATGGTAATATAAAGTAAAATAAGTAAAAGAGAAACTAGCTAGCTGAGTACTTAACGGTCGATAGCTCTGCTCTTCCTACGTCCTACAGGAACGGCGGAAAAAGAGGAACTGAAAGGAAAATGGAGGAGGCGAGGCTTATATACCCCACAAGGGGGGGAGCTAATTGACTCATTTTTTCTAAGCTCTAGCATCTTCCGGATGTTCTTGCGCAGGCACAGGATAAACCTAATTGTGTGCATTCACAGAGACCACTACGAAGAACTAAGATCATGGCCACTGGTCCCATCACCTCCTGGCAAATAGAAGGGGAAGATATGGAGGCACTGACAGATTTTACTTTCTTGGGCTGCATGATCACTGCAGATGGTGACAGCAACCACGAAATTAAAAGATACCTGCTTCTTGGGGAAAGCAATGACAAACCTTGACAGCATCTTAAAAAGCAGAGACATCTGTTTCTACACCATAAAGAAGGCTGACCACCGAAGAATTGATGCTTTGGAATTGTGGTGCTGGAGGAGACTCTTGAGAGTCTCCTGGACTGCAAAGAGAACTAACCTATCAATTCTGAAGGAAATCAACCCTGAGTGCTCACTGGAAGGACAGATCCTGAAGCCGAGGCTTCAGTCCTTTGGCCTTCTCATGAGAAGAGAAGACTCCCTGGAAAAGACCCTGATGTTGGAAAAGTGTGAAGGCAAGAGGAGAAGGGGACGACAGAGGACGAGATGGTTGGACAGTGTCATCGAAGCTACCAACATGAATTTAATCCAACTCTGGGAGGCAGAGGAAGGCAGGAGGCCTGGTGTGCTCTGCTCCATGGGGTCACGAAGAGTCAGACACGACTTAATGACTAAACAACAACAAAACTTTGTGAAGAGGGGTGAAAACTACAATGGCAATGCCAAGCTCACAAAAAAGATCATTTAAAAAAATATAATTTCAAAT